CTTTCGGCGCGCATCTGTTAATAGCTTCCTCCGAGCTTTTGTCGAGTATTATAATTTCTTTCGGGGAGTAAGTGCTCCTCAACAATAAAAATTTCATGGCCGTGTTAATGCCGCCCTAAAGGACTCCACGCAGGGTGTATCGTCGCGTCGCACAGTGGACCGAATCAATAGCGGAGGTCGGACAAAATTTCGAAACTTTAAACGCTTATAATTCCGTTTGTACAAAATTTTGAGATGCTAGAAGTTGATTTATTGGTATTGTCGTGAAATTTTCCGCTAGAAGCACCCCTTCAAATTTAAAATGTGACGGAATTAACATGACATTTTCATTATTAGTGGAAAATTTTACGTCCGACCTCTCTGATTGACTCGATCCACTGTGCGCCATCTCACTTAGTCGCCCAGACCCCCAGACCTCCGTTCCGGGTGGAATTTAATGATCTAATTAAATGGAAGGATTGAGAGGCCCTCCGAATATGAAGGATAATTAAAAGACTGTCTTAATTCTTATCGGGGTATTGAAGACCAAGAGCAAATTAATTCGCATTTTCTACGAAGGTAAATCTTACCGACCAGCTTAAAAGTCGGCTCTAGATTCAATATATTTTGAAGATCCTGCGGGCTGATTGTTGAAATCGGTAGACAAATCGATGGATAAAGAAGACTAAAAGGACAGGGAGGGGTCCTACTGGTGGAAGCAGGTGGTTGCAATGGACAAAGGAGGTACACGGAAAAAAAATTGCTGATTCAACAATTCAATTGCTAAAAACAGTGAGTGCAATGTTTCAACGCAGATTTTACAACAAAAAAATGCTACTTTAACCACATTGTAAACTAATTTAACCACGGGGGTGGTTAAAGTAGCATTTTTTTGCTGTAAAATCTGCGTTGAAACGTTGCACTCACTGTTTTTAGCAATTGAATTGTTGAATCAGCAATTTTTTTTTTCCGTGTAAGTAATATCTCTGGGAAGATCGAACCCTAGACCTCCGAAAGTTATATAGGGAAGATTATTGGCAGATCCTCACACTTGACACCTGACACCACACCGTGAGGGCGGGGGCGTGCTGCCAGCTCGAAACGTGCACCGACGCCTACAAACCTAAGGGGATACTTCAAGCATTGCGCAATGCGTGAAGTATCCCCTTAGGTTTGTAGGCGTCAGAGCGCGACTCGCGCTAGCAACACGCCGCGGCTCTCCCGGCGGCGCGGCATCCCCGAAAATTGGAAAACACCAAATAAACCGCAACACAGCCTGTATGGATATACCTGAATTAGATCCAAACAATGACATGGCCTCACCATTAAAACCTCAAACTTGACTATTCCAAAAATAATCTGCCTAGTAATGGACAAAGGAGGTAGGTAATAGCTGAGATAACGACAACCCACAAGAGATCTTTTAGCTTCACCCATTTCAACCAATAGAATCGTTCCATACTCCTTATGTCTTCTGTGTCTATTGCTTTGTCTATCAATTTCAACAGTCAGATTGCAGCACTGCCATTTCCCCTGTGATGTAAAGTTACTTTCAAAAGTCAACGCTCCAATTTGCCTGATGATGACTCATGACCAAACAGTTAAACAACTGGTACAGCAATCTGAACCTCATTTGCATGTCACCTCTGAGACTGCTCATTCCAACATTCATCAGTCATCATTACGTGACTTTTATTAAATTTTTTGATCAGCAGGTTGCTCATCAGCCATCATTAGGCAAAAAATAATGTTGACCTCCGAATTTATCTTTTGCCTCGCTTTACTACATCCTTGCAATTGTTAGTGCGGGGTTTTGAAAATAAAATGTCCCTAAAAAAACCCCATGTTCCCCAAAATTAACGGTCCATTTTTTCCTGAAAATTGTATACTCATTAAAATCGGTTCATTTGATCGACGTTTCGATTGAGATTTCTCTCTACAACGAAGATGCTTCTATAACAGGGGAACTTTTTGATCCAGCAAACTAATCCCTTCTCATATAGGACAAAAGAAGATAGTAGTGCTGGTTCTGTCTTTCATTAAATCCACTTATGAAAAACTATAACGGTCCATATCGTTTATACACTTAAAGATTCGAAGATAGTGAATTTCTATGAGTTCAGATGCACAAATCGCAAAATATTAAAAATAAATACACTCAGTATCAAGGTTTTAAACCATGCTATTCTATCACGATTTTAACTGAATTTACTTTCCCTTTGATAACTTTACACATTCGGTTCCTTTTCGTTTCGATGTTTACTGGAATCTATCGAGGAAATTCCGCACCGCGGCAAGAAATCGAGGGCAGATTTTAGAGGAGGGTGGAAGGCTAGGAGGGGGGCTTAAAGTCACTAACAATTAACACCCCCCACGAAAATTGTTTTTCGAAGGTGCTTCAAAGTGCAATTTATAATCGACGGAGCAGCCATTCATCTTAGAACAACTGCGGCTGGCAGAATAGTTAATCTTCGATAGCGTTAATTATCGGTTTCGGATCGTTTCGTTGCTCCGCTGCTCAAATATGGAGGAGGCTCCTCTTGTAATATTAACGTTTAAGTCAGGTTCCAACCCGGAAGTCGAACCTTCATGGAAATAAGACGATTCGGACTTCATTTTCCAAGGAGGAACTACAATTTCTAGCTCATCTATAAAAGCTCCCGAGCGCTTGGCGAAACGACTGACGCATGTGTTGTTTTCAAAATGAGTCAGAAGTAGTAGCCCATTTTTGCAAAATGCGGTTCAGTGCTAAAATGTATCGGCAGCACTATTGGCGTCTTAGCGGCAAAGAAGAGAAAATTATTTTATTGCTTTTATTTCATTTGAAAAAGTAATCCAATTGAAATTGTTACCAGGCTCTCTCAAAATAATGACATCATACTCTTTTGAAACGGAATAATTACTTATTAAATGTTTAAATAAATTTCGGCATAGTTAATGAAGTGTCGGCTTGGCGGCCTTTTTTACTGCTACCACAGCCCAAGAACTCAGATCAAAGTAAACGTCAAAAACTTGAAGATGAACATTAACGAGGAAAGGGAAGGTATCCTGGTCCAGAGCCTGTTTTTAATTATTTATGGTTTGATCATAATTCATGAGTGGCCTTCGGAAGGATTATTGCTTCCACTTTGAAGAACAAGCTCACAAAATCCTTCCTCTTTTTTCAGCCCCGCGTTTCTTGTTATTCATGAGCTACTGCCAGGTATAAATACGTGATAATAACATCCGCCAGGTCTTCCGTGCTGGAGAAAAAACACCATATGGACATTCAAATGTTGACAAATTTCTTTCTAAATATGAAAAATATTCTGAAGAACGTGTAATTATCCTTGCTAGGAATTTTCGGAAACTTTTAATCGCAATTTGCTCGGGGGTTCCTGAAGTGTCGCCCAGACAATATCCGCAACTTTTCGCGAAAACACATTTTTTATCGAGAGAAATCTGGCAACCTCGGAAAGCTCATACGGCGTTCTTTCTTGGTAAGACAGAGGTGACTTCCTCCTCGGTGCAGCCTTCTCAGTTCTGCGTATTATTCTATGTATTATGTATCCAGCGTTCTTAATAAAACCTCCTGATGAATATTCATGAAGGCGCTTTCTTTTATACGGAAAAAAAGTTTTAATTATCCCCAGTTTCGGGATGAAAGGGTGTCTGTGCATGTTGCGAATGTCAGATTGGCGTAGAAAGGTCAACTCGACATGCTATTGTACATAAATAATACAATAATTCTCGGCTTGTCTCCGGCATCCTCGCTGCATGTTCTCTCGAAGAGGAATAAGTAATGCGAGGCGCGTCCTCATTTTCTGTTGGTTGGATAAATTAGTTCAAATGATGAGGTGGTCCCTTTGAAGCGCTAAAGTAGCATAGATCATTCCGTTTTAAACGAGGTTTTATGAGCGACCGATTTGTTAATCTCAATTATTGCGCTCCCGTTGTCAGGGAATAAGAAAAACCAAATGTTCACTTTTTGGTTCCAAACTCAAGTTGTTACGAAAAACCTCTAAAGAAGGCTTATATCTCTGATAAATTTTTCTATGAATAGCTTTTCTCCCATCACTTCTTCTAAATAGATTCAACTGCAATACTAACTAATTGGTAAATTTTTCAACTTTAAAATATATCATTTCCTCTGAGCGTATTTTAATGATTTCTGGTAGGAATGTGCCCGTGTTACACTTGTTCGCGTTAAACCATTTGGAAGAAAATAGTCATTTAAAAGTTTATGACGGACAAATTTTGCTTGAAATGTTAAGGTTCCTGATTTAAAGCGATGGAAAGAAATTCTACAAAAAAGAGGGAGGCGTTCAAATCTACATGTACCTTTGCCGAAAATCTTCGGGTTTTTTACATTGAAAAGACGAGTGGAAGATTTACGATGCAAAAATAATAAGTCGTTTGACGTTATCCTGAAATGGTGTGCAATGTTTTAATATACATTATTGAGAAACATTTTTGCTTAAAGCAAGAGAAATTTGCGTAAATCTCCCCTTGACAGGATGATTACAGTAAATTGAAAAGGGGATTCAATAACTTGATTTTAAAGGAATCCCGCATTAAGAAAGTAGAATTAAGTGGACCAAAATTGGTGTTCAGTGTTCACTGCTCCACATCGAGCATTTATTATTATTATTCGGTTCGTGAAACGGAACATTCTATACGTCGGATCAAACTTTTCAGTGCTTAGGATCAAACTTTCAGTGCTTAGGATCAAACTTTTGGATTGAGGCGTAGCCGAAAAAAGAGGTTCAGGCAGGGAAAAGCTTCGAACGTATGGTTATACGAATCGAACGTTTGGTCAGACGAAAAAGAGTGTTCAGTCGATTAGAGCACGATTTTTTTATTTTGATGGAGTTGATTTGAAGGACATTTTTGGCGAGATATATTCGTCAAAATCCATTAAGATTAAAATATCTTCACTTCTTCAGTTACGTAAGTTAATACGTGATGTTGCTTTACTTTTCTCGGTGAAACGACATTTAATTAGATATTGATGCTATGATAGGAGTAGGAAAAGCACTCACCCCAGGCAATGTCCTTTTCTCATGGAGCTCCCGCTGGGCGACCGCAGCACTCTCCTTGCTCGCGTACGTCAGGAAAGCGCAACCTGCAAAAGCAAATACAACAATACAATACGATACAATACAATAATACACCAATATAAACATACAACAATACAACTGCAAATACACCTAACGAGTAATTTATTGCTATCAAAAAACATGAATACATAATGAGGAATTTATTACTGACAAAAATCAGAAATACACCTAATAAGTACACATTTATTACTAACAAAGGGGTACGACCCATGACCCCAAATATTCATAAGTTTACCAGGAAACTCGCGTTATATCAAAGGATATTTGGCAACGCCTGAAGGTTTATACGGCGTTCTTCCTTAGCACGACAGAATACTGATTAGGTGGGTTTTCGGTACGATCGCGGGTAACATAAGTCATAATTGGACGTAGTTCTATCAAACGGAACTATGTGCATTAAGATATGAGCCCTGATACCCATAAGAATGCACTTATAACAGGGCTCACGTCATCATGCACATAGTTCCGTTTGATAGAACTACGTCCAATTGCGCATACCTTCTTTACAAAACACCAACCTAGTAGCAGGGACTGTTAAATATTGACTGTGAAAAAAAGAATGAACATGATGTATAAGTTGGAAGCCCTTTTTGTTATTTTGTGAGTCAAATTCACTCAGTGATTTCCGGTTATAAATACATAAAACTAGTCTACTTTGAAACACCTGCGAAATTCTCCATTATACGCGGATAATCAAACCGGTGAGGTATTCTTGCGTATTGCCCACTTTCCATCCGCACAGTTGAAATTAATTAAGGGAAAGTTGAAATATTTCTAGTCCACTCCGGGCATGAAACTTCACTTTTTCCCAGCGTAAATCATCGGACCCCCCCCCCCCAAATCCCTCGATGGCAGGGCGAGATTGCATAAACGATAATAATTGGCGGGAGGGAGCCGTGCGGGACTGCGGGGGTGTTTTGGCTAACGTGGCGACATAATTTGTTTTAACTCCGCGAGCACAACCAATCGGAAACGCCGATAAAGGCGGTGGCGCCCATCCAGTGCACAGCCCCCATGTTGCTAGATTCCCTATGCAGACATTTCGCACGCAAACTAAACGGGCAGTGTTCGACGGAGCAAATATCATTATAGCCAGTATTGAAAATATAGAGAGTAGAGTGGAGTAGAAACTACCCTTTATTTTACCCTTTCGGGTTAATGAAGTTGCAAAGATACAAACTTAAGTAAAATAATGTATCAGTATCATTTGGTATTTAAATTTTTAGTGCATGCAAGAACTACCCGAGGTTTCACGACTCCTCTATCATCTTGAACCTTTCTTTTTACGTAATGTTACAGTCAATTCCAACGTTTTGATCTCATGAGATTGTTAATGGATTCCTGAAATTATTTCCAAAATTTTCTTTCGCCTCAATGTCTAGGGCCGCCTTACAGGCGGACCTCGTCGTCTCCTGGCTCAAGAACGTAACTCCATTCCAAAGTTACGAGGTTTTTCCTTGCAAATTCTGTTTTCATGTGATAGGTATAGAGTGTTCCTAATTTGCAAAATTCACACATTTCCTGCTGATTTTTACGCACTAATCAGCAGAGTTTGGGATAGAAATTTCATGGTTAAGTCCTGGTAGGAAATTGTATGATTTCAGTCAATGGAGAATTTGCGCACAAAAATTGTATTGTTTCATCTGAGAATGCTTAATGAGCAGAGTTCGCAGTATTTTTCATACTTTTTTTCTGACATGAGAAATGGGAGAAAAAAAGATTAAAAAGATGAAAAAATGTGCCACCCCATGACGTCATTTGGCGACATTTTCAATCTGAACACATGCATTTTAGCAGATTAGGTTATTTTGTCACATTATCCTCCAATAATCGTCCAATTTTGAAACCAAGTACCAAGTCCTCGGACTCAGTTTTCCCAGCAGTATCATTTTAAAGATGAAATTTACAGAATCTCAGACACATGCAAATTCTCTATCCTGTGATCTTGAAATGGGGTTACGCGCTTGCGTACGGGAAACGACCGATTCGCTCGGCAAAGGCTGAAAAGAGGTTTTTCGCGAATTCTAAAGTCGTCGCGATGCGATGCCTGGTGCAATGCTGACTCCGGGTGGGAGTAAACATTTCAACTCGATCCATCTGAGCGTGCTAACAACATTTCTCCCGAGTGAACGAGCAACGCACGGACGATTGACTCCGTTCGCGTTTTTTTCCGAGGGGGCTATCGTAAACAACCAACTGTTTTAACTAGCTCGGTATTTTAATAAGTTTGTTGCGTTGACTCGATCGAGCTCCCCGCCCCCCCCCCTTTCGCAGATCGTGGTTGATTCGGGATCATCGTAACAATACATTTTTGAGGTGGAACGTTTGCCGAATATCACTCTCAACCCGAATTTGAACCTAACGTTGAACCCCAAGCAATGCGTTTTAGTGACCCACACCCTTGTCCTCCCTATAGTTTAAAAGCATTGGAGGATCCAGCAAATTGCTAAAATTGTCTTTCCTCCATTTAAACATATGGGGATGTATCAATTCTTAGTGGGGCCAGGTGCTCCGTAAGAATCGACTACTTATTATAGGTTTAAATGTAGAAAATACAATGTTGCAAGATTGTTGGATCGGCCTCTGTTTAAAAGTTACTTACGGTAATTAACACTCAGATTCGCCTAACGGTGACTTGTGACGAAGGATTTGAGCAATCGGGTTGACAATCCTAACCCAATTTACATAAAGCCTTGCTAACGGCTTACTCGGACATTCATCAGTTATCATTAGGCGAATTTTATTTGATTTTTTACTCAATAAGTTAGCTTATTAATTATCTGTAAGCGAAAAGTAGTGGAACTTCATGCCGTAGTAAACAAAATATCAGGGGTTAGCTCCTAACATTATGGTACTGCCCGAATTCGTTGGATGATACGGGCATTTACAATGAATTGCGGGTGGACTGCAACGCAAGTTGGGGTAGTGCTGCAACATTAGAGTTGGTAACCTAATTTATTGGTAAACAGTTAATTTGAAACACTCATATCATCCAACAACCCAATTCTCTTTCTTTTCGTATTCCGAAGTGAAATTTTGCCGCAATCGAATACATTCCCATTTTTATACAGAAACTTTAATTTTTTTGAGCTTTCGAATTAAAATTCAAACACGAGTTAAAACTGGCTGATCGTGAGTCTTACGGGTATTCCTAGGTTTTTCTACATCCTCGGCGCCGCGAACAAAATCCCTCTTTTCCACTGCAATCGCGTTGACGCTGTCCATAACGGCGCGACGGCGCCGCAAATCTACAGCCGGTTACGGAATAAATTAGCTAATCCGAAAAATCAATCGAACGCCGGCGTGGAGTGTTTAACACCCCCTACCCCCCTCCCCCTGGCGCGCCCCGGTCCCACCGCGTTCCTAAATTCAGATTTTACGGTAATTCATATTTATCGGCTCAATTATGGCTGCTCGTGCGCCTAACCCCCNATCCCCACCCACATCCCACCCTCTCCCTCTCGCGTTCGGATTATCTCTCTGCCTCGACTGCCGTGCCGGATAAGAACCACCAATCTCGCATGGAATCCGTAGGGATATATGCTGTTATTACGGAGCGATCCGTAGGCGGTGGACGGCGACGGCGGCGGCGGCGTAGGCGCGGGGGCACCGCTCCGGAGCAGGTACGGCGCCGGCTATATTTCATCTACTTTGTTACTCTCTTTTTAGCACCGCTTACGTTTACGTTCGCCGAACGGTTATGCTCGTAAGGCAAGTTTGTTTCCGATCCGACGCACAGTAGGATCCTGTGCATCGGGGATAGATAAATTCGATGGCTTTGGCTGGATTGCCTAGATTGCCAGATGGGCGGATCTGTAAGTCTACAGACAATCATTCACCAATGGCTCCGCGAATAAAAGGGCCCAAAAAGGCAGGGAGCTGTTATTTCACATTTTTCATTTGCCGGTGTGGCAGGTAATGCATCCATTAGAACACTTGCCACAACATTCTGCCGTCCACAGCAAAAGGGCCGTGACTCCACTCAATATTACCTACGTTAAAACGAAGTTTCTGCCCACGCAGAAAAACAAGATGCACGTTAAAATTATTAGCACTGAAAGTTTGAAAAACTAACATTAACTAACATTTAATATTTTGGTTAAGATGGTTAACTATTTCAATGTGGCCTTTCTACTGATTTAATTTAAGGGTTTGGATAGCCACTAACTCTCCTTTTTTCCCCTTAATAGACCAAGAAGAGCATGAATTGGACGTATTTGAGGACTTATCTGTAACAATGGCGGATGTGAAAAATTACCTTTTCGAAACACATTAAAAAAACTGTTTTGGCATCGAGAAAATTTTGAGGAAATACTTGAGATGTAATCTTCGAGATCTGTCCATTATGCCAGAGCCAAACATATTACATTTTTGTGGGAACAAAACAATTTTTTATGCATGCTTCGAATAGGTAATTTTTCACATCCGCCACTGTTACACATAAGGCCTCATTTATGCTAAAAGGAATTATGCGTATGGGGTTTGCATGCAATATAGTTCCTTTGACCAGAAATACGTCCAATTCAAAATCTCTAGGAGCTAATAGAGATAGGCTGAAGGAACTGTTGATGCTCTGTTTCACCTGAAATTGAAATGAAGAAAAAAAAAAGAAGCCAAAAAATTATGGATCGCCGACGGATGAGAAAGGTCTTTAGATGTTCAAACGGAGGAAGGAATTTATTTTCACAACTGGAGATGCGCGGGCGAAGAGACCCGGCTGCTTCTCCGTGGTCCGTTTCCCGAGGGTCCCCTAATCGGTACTTAATGGTAATTAATGTTTTCCGAGAGAGCACCAACGGTGTCCCCAAAAATGCTCTTAATGGACCTTTTTTGGAAGCACTCGAGAGTTAAAATCCTCGGCGCGAGAACGACATTTTAATGACTTGGTAATTAATCCCTTTGTCCCTTCCACGCAACGCTTAGACGCAAACAGACGATAACGTGATAATGAGCTTGGCTTCATTACGTATCGGTCTTTGCACACATAGTCACACCCTTGCCTTTT